AACAGGTTCACAAAACCCCGTTCTGTCTTTCTCTTATCAGTTATTTATCCGTTTTAAATCATATACGTATGAAAAAGGAGATTTTGGAAGTTTAATTTCACCTCACAATGACGTCTTAGAGTTCATGTCACATTGTGAAACTACTTTTGTGCGAAGAGTTTAATGCAAATATGCATAAGAAAGGAATTGTATCACATTTTAAGAACAATAGAACAAAACAACTTTTCTATCAAAATAAATGTCTGCAAAGACTTTTAAGATTTACTGATAAAATTGTATATACAAATGCATTTATATTATACTACAAAATTTTTAAATCAGACAATATCTACTACAACGAAGGTCAAATTAATTTCTACCAGTTCCAATTACTCAAAAGTTTGTAAAGTTTTGCATTTGCCTTGTTAATTACAATATCATGACATAGGCAGATTCTTTTCTGTATTACGATTACCATTTCTATATATTTAAAAGTTTTAAAATATTTTTGCACTTGTTTTGTATGATCTGTATAGTATTAAGTAAAACATTTCTGTATGAGTATTTTATTCACAAGTTTTTTTTACAAAAGTTTTAGTTTACTTGAGAACTGCAAATATATTGCCTATATGATGGCCAAACCAGCTTGGGCACAGGACGCTACACCATTCCATTGTTGAAATCTCGGTCGTATTCTTAAATTTTCACTAAAACTTCATAGTATTTAAGAAAAATACAATATGAATAAATCTGGCATTGCTTTCCTTATAAACTATTATTGTAGTTCTAAGATGCCATGTTCACGGTAGTTTTCATGTGATAGTCGGTTCAGTCAACTATTAGCTGGCCAGTCGTCTTAGCTTCACTAGGTAATTAGTTTATGGTCATCCTGTCTGTAGTTTACTAGTAGGTATTACTAGTAAACTACATGTATGTAGTTTACTAGTAAAGGTACTACATACAGGTAAACTACATACATGTAGTTTACCTGTATGTAGTATTACTAGTGGTGCCTTTATGTCGCAATCGAAGACCATAGAAACAACTAATTGAGTTTGAGAGGGGAAAGAATCAACAGGTTGAGAGAAGCTGGATGATTATCTCGCAGAATGGCTCACCACCTAGGCCTTTCTGACAACGCTATGAGGTGGTGTTAGGATCAGTGGATGAGAGAGGGTTTGCGCACATGGTGCCCAGGCTCATGACACTCAGCAGATTATTAGCCGAGAAGCATGCATACAGCCAACCATATCATTGTTTGCCATCCAGACACAGGTGGCACCATCATTACAGACCTTGTCTGTCTGTCTGCCATTTCGAGGTGCCTGGGTGAGGAACATTTGGTATCACGATGGCCATTAAGTATCCTCTGTTGACATCACCCACCATCGCCTCTGGAGTGGTGTCACTCCTGACGGAATTGGACCGCAACAGAGCAGAACCAGGTCATCTACAGCAATGCATCCAGATACAGTTTTGGCACTGACAATGGCCTTGTTTGTGTCTGGTGGAACGCCTCAATCCTGTCTATGCTTTGACATGGCACATCACCCCACAGCTGGTGTGATGGTCTGAGGTGCCATCACATACAACAACCAATCACCTGTGGTAGTGATCCAAGGGACTTTGACAGTCCAGCAGCATGTTAGTGACAACCTGTAGTCACATGTGTTGCCTCTCGTGGCAGGGCTTCAAAAAGCCATTTTTCAACGGGACAATGCTCGACCACACAATGCTAGGTCATCACAGGACTGTCTCCGCCACATTGCCTGACCTGCTTGGGTCTCCTGATTTATCTCCGATCGAACACGTCTGGAATCACCCGGGATGTCAAGTTGGACAGCCTAGGAGTTTGGCCATACTAGAGGACCACTTTCAGCAACTGTGGACTTAGATGCTGCAGGACACCGAACGCCTCCGTGTCACATCGTGTATTCATACTAGAGGTTCTAGAACCTCCTTTCATTTTAGTTTTTCCTGCAATAAATGATCTTTTTGCCTTCATTTTGTAATCGCTTACTTATATCATCGATTCACACACACGAACATACAATTACATTCGATTCCGACAACTCCTTCATGGTGCATTAATTTTTATAGGAATGAGTGTATTTCCATATCTGATTTGACTTCGTCTCATCCCCCTTGTAAATCATTTTCATTTAATTAAAACTTTTGGTTTATAAACTCCAACCAACAACAGACTTATCATACATTATTCAGTGTTTATTCAGCAATTAAAACCCCGGTGTGCATTTCGAACAAAACAATGTTATCCTCTTCAGCTTGTTTTAATTTACACCGTTTTAACCGACACACAACACCATTAAAACGATTATTTTCACCACATCTCTTCTTTACATTATTATATAAAATATGATTTACCATCTTACATTTAATAAAATAGATATAAACAATACTTTATTTTATTGCAATATATTTTATTAAATTTAAGGTGCTAAATCATATTTTATATAATAATGTAAAGAAGAGATGTAGTGAAAATAATCGTTTTAATGGTATTGTGTGTCGGTTAAAACGGTGTAAATTAAAACAAGCTGAAGAGGACAACATTATTTTGTTGTCGAAATGCACACTGGGGTTTTAATTGTTGAATAAACGCTGGCTAGTGTATGTAACTGTTGTTGGTGGGGTTTGAATCAAGATTTAAGCTAAAATACAGACAAAAATGAATTGATATGAATATTTAAAAACTATTCACTTGCTTGACATACACGCTTGTTATTGACAGTCGCTTTCAGTCGCTAATTTTGTTTTCCTTCGTTCATTTGCTTCTCTGCTATTCCTTTAGATGTTTTCTCGTAAATGGACCGTCAAAATTGACTTCAAACTGTCAAACCGAACTGTCCGATCGTCTGACCCGAAAAATGTCACTACATAATATGATAATAGCTCAGGGTGTTATGTGGATTATTTACACATTAGGTGCATCTCTATCATCAGAAATAACAGTAATTTTCTTTTCTTTATAAAACAGCTTTACGTAGTTACTAGCAGCACTTCCTAACACCTCAAAAACAACAATATTTGGAAGTTGTGTTCGGCAGTAGTCTGGCAGCTCTCGAGCACAGAACTTATGATCTCGTGAAGCTAATGTTGTTGTTAATGGCAACGCAACACTTGGGCTATCTGCCTAGGGAGGATGCCTTCCGGGAGATTTTTTTAAGGGAAACTGGCCCCTATTTAGGCGTTACAGACGTGGAGAAAATCAGGAAAACTCCGTGGTCAGCCTGTCCGAGCGAGGCGCGAACCCACGACTGAACTTCCAGTATTCAGGGTACGAAGACCGCTTGGTCACTGGTGGGCCTCGTGAAGCTAAAAACGGGTCACTGTCTAGTGGCGCACTCGTGCACCGTGGCCAGATAATGACATTGTCCGATACCAGCCTCCGTTTGGTAACACAAGACTTATCCTAAAAATTAAAAATGATTTTTTGTAGGAGAAGAAACCATTTTACTATTTGCATTTAAAAAATGTATATAGCGATATTTCATTCTAAGATCTGTCTTGGGTATTCGCAATAACGAATGTATAAAAGTTATATAATTGTTTTAAACATTAAGATTTTTGAAAATCATCGCATTCAAGATGAAAAATATTTAGGCAATTACTTTTGTGTTTTAGTCCGGTATTATTCATACAGTAGTAGGATCAGCAGACCATTACTATAACTGCTAAGTAGGTAGGTAGCAGTTATAGTATCATACTAAGGCTTTCTTTCAAATATACAGTATCGATAACTATGTCGAATCAAACGTTCGTTGCAGAATTGGCTTTTTTTTAAATAGAACATTTAAAGTAGCATAACTTATTTTAAAAATTGGCTCTGAAGTTTACCGTGGTCCACGAAGGGTTTTATTAATTAATTGTAAAAATAACAAGTTACTTAGTATATTGTATTTGATCCATTTAGACATTTAATATAGCATTAACAACTTTATTATAAATATTTGTATTAGACAATACAGGTAACCCTCGTATAAGGCCTAGTTAGGTTCCACAAAAATGTCGCGTAATGCGAGTCTCGCATAACGATATTTTAAATATAAATTTGATCTAATATTTAAGAAAAATAATTTTATTAAAATTTGTAAAATAAAGAATTGTACGTAATAACCTTTCTTGGTGCACAAAAAATAAATTTTTCTCGTCTTTCAAAAGAATATTTTGTTCATTTTGTTTGATCGAACGAATTGTCTATTCTTTGATTGTAAATTGTAAAATTGTCTATTCGTTTAAATTAAAGGTTTGCAGCAACGACCGATTATTCTCCGAGACGTTCTGATTTTTTCTTTTAAAGAAATAAATCTTTCCCTTTGTGATTTTTCTAGCCATGACTATAAATTTTTTTGTCACTGATATACAATTATGAAATCTTTGCATTTATAGAAATTAATTATATACTATATGTTACTCTCCGGGTCGTACGATTTCGGTGGCCGAGGATCGATAGGCATTTACAACTTTAACTAACCGGCGGACACTTATTATCTAATTAAATTCTATTTTCGAGAAGGCGACCGAAAAAGAATATTGTAAGCACAAAATGCCAAAGGGCATTTCCGGCTTATAAAGTAGCAAACTTATTAGCAGAGAACAGTTTTTATTTTCTAACGAGACTTTTACTTTTTGTGGTAGTCTCTGCCACAAAAAGTAAAAGGTACTCTTATTAGTCATACGGGAAGAAATTCACAATGTATTGTACTGTACATCGGCCGACGACGCGGTAGTAACATAAAGAACATCTGGTAGAATGAGGTTAACACGATTTCGTACGAAATCTTAGGTGGAAATGGCGTTGTATAAGTACGGCGTCATACCGGGGTTACCCGTGTTTGAAATGCTGTTCCTTTTTTTTTTATTAATTATAAATAAATATCGGTTACTTGTCAAAAGATTTGAATATTTCAGAATAATTGCATTACGGAATAAGTTCCGTAAAGCATTCTATATATTAATATACGCAAGTAAACTAGGTAACGTCATTCTTTCTTTTGCAGTATCTACACGAACTACTGATACACGTGCTACAGGAAAGAGGAGTGACTTTTCGATTGGTAGAGCAGCTACAAGATTACTGTTCGGTTTACCGACACGTTTTATATTTGGAATTTTTAGAAAAGTTGAAAGATTTCGTTATAGAACCGTACAGTTAAATATATTTAATAATTTTGTTCTTATTGTGTAAAGTTATACGTATTAAAATTTAAATTATAAGTTTTCCTTACTCGCCTTGCTATCGATTATCGTATTTAAAAATTTTGCTAATAAATGGGTGGTCGACGTTTTGCGTAATGTAAAAATTTCGGTAATTGCTTCGGGAAGACAATTGCGATTAAGAGAAGGGAAAAATCGGCTGCAGTCGAAAGATAAAGCGGACTCGGACTACTTATCCCGGTTAATTTACATTTTGCAAATCTTTTTTAAACTCTCGATACCCGACGACAAATTATTTACTTTAAAGGCGAAGGCCCATCCGTTTTCCAATTGGCAGCAACGATTCATTAAGACGAAATCGACGCTACGGGTTTAGTCCGAGGGCGGGCGGAAATCCTCTTTGGAGGAAATTCGGGATTAAGAAGTCGGCCGAATGTTTGAATAAAGGATTTATCGCTTCCCAGTAGATTACCGTCAAACGGTTTCCTCGTTTGGCGATAACGCGTGAATTATCGGCCCGGCAAAAAATCCTAACGAGATAAGCGTGGAAAAATTAACTTTTCCTTTCGGCCTTTCCGTGATTTTGCAAGAGTTCAATAAAGAAGGGGTCGTCCCGGCTGCCGACAGAAGATAGGACCTCCTCTCGATTATCCGAATACTTGGCCAATTCTTCCGCACTTGCCATTTGTTAATCGCTTTGTTCCATTCCACGAACAGACCAAGTAGAAGCAAAGTTTGACGTCGTTTTCGTTCTCGCCTCCTGCCGATTCTTACGTAAGAAAACGAGAATTGCAAAGCGTTCGGGGCATTTCGCCCGGAGTTATTAGTAGTGTTCGAATTTCTTTTTTCTAGTTAAAAGGCGTTCTTAAAATTGAGCCGACGATAAAATCCAGCCAAGAGGGAAGCGCCGTAGCGGACGACTTTTCCGGGTCGTTTGTTTTCTAATTTATACTTGCGTTGCCACGGCTTCTGTGTCGTCTTTTAGCTTGTTTCGCGTTGTTTAGGCTGCTATAAGGGTCTGATCGTTAGGGCATCTATTGTAGACAGACTAATATTTCTGTACAGTTATTACGCCCGTAAAAGAAAACAGCTTAATACAATAGTAGGCCACGGAAAGAACGGATACAATCTTACGCTTTCCTTACGTACGTGGTGTCTCGGACCTTTCCTACACTCGTTTTAAAACCCAGAGAGTTTTACGAAATGTCCCGAAAATTTCGATAAGTAAATCGAATGTGCTCCGTCGAACGGTTTTACCTTCGAAATACTGGCTAGGGACAATCAGTGGCCAAGCGGTCTTCGGTCCGTGAACACCAGGAGTTCGGTCGTGGGTTTCGCGCCTCGTTCGGAACAGGCTGGCCACGTGGTGTTTTCCGGGTTTTCTCCGTGTCTGTAACGCCTAAATAGGAGCCAGTTTCCCTTAAAAAGATCTCCCGGAAGGCATCTCCTAGGCAGATCGCCCAAGTGTTTTTTTGCCATAACTAAAACTGGCTAGAAATAGACTATCCCGGCGGAAAGTTAATTTTTTTAAATAGAACATGATATTTTTTTATTTCGGATTGATACGAAAGATTAAAATGTGAAAATATTTTGTTGCACATTTTAATTGAAAATGTTTCCGCCCGCCGTGGCGTGTGCTGTGAACTTCTGTCGGCATCGCTTTCTGCGATTCTGAGCTTCGACACTTAGGAAAAAATTTGTCGCTCGAATAATTTCGTCTTCGTCAAAGAATCGAAATGCCTGGTCTATTCTATGAATCGTATCGTCCCTTGCAGGGATGTAATCTTACATTAAAAACCACAAGGGCGCTAAACGGTGCTCGGAGTTTAAGTCGCTCCGTTTATGTAGTTTTGTACCGGCAAAGCGCGGCTGTTTCACGATATCTGAAAACGGCTTAAATGCGTCAAAATGATCTATATTCTACTGTCACCAGTCATCAAAACGTATCGGGAATGGTACATTTAAACTGACAGCGTGCAGGGAGGTAGTCTCTGTTTTCGTTGGCAAATCTTGTTTTGTGTGTAAATAATTTCTGGGCCGGCCATTTTTCAAAATGTAGAAATTAATCGAGCACAGAACGCGCATTAAATTTTATTTTAGCCACGGAATTACTGTTACAAAAATGATGGAAATATTGCAGAAAGCATTTGGTGACGTGTCTGTCAAAAACGAGTTTTCCAGTAATACGAGATGTTGGAGGAAGGCGGAGAACTCGTCCAAGACGAACCGCGCTCTTGTAGACCGTCCGTTTCGACTGACGAAGAACACGTCGCTCCAGTCAGAGATTTGGTGCTCGGTGTCCGTCGTTTAACAATTTGGGACATTGTCGAACGTGCTCCGGTGTCATTTGTATCTGGTCGAGCAATTTTAAAAGATCGTTTGGGCTTGCTGTGCGTCGCTTCTCGAGTCGTCCCGAAAACGTTAAATTTTTTCCAAAAACAAAAAGTGTTCTAGTGGCCGAGGAAATGCTTTCTCCGGGCGAATTGTTTTTAAAATGCGTGTTACGGGTGACGAAACGTGGATCTATGGTTTTGACACCGAAACGGCTGGACGATCGCGTGAACGGCGCTCGAAAGGTGAAGCGGAGACAAAAGATCGCGTTGAAGTCGGTCGAAAATCGAGGTCGAGTTGACTTTTCTTCGACTGTCATGGTGCTGTGCACCACGAATTCCTTCCACTGGCCGCAAAATGTCGACAAATAATAATAATTGAACGTTTTACATCGTTAGAGTGAAGCAATTTGTAGAAAACCACCCGATTTGTGGAGAGAGAACTTGTGGATTTTGTACCATTGTAATGCATCCGCTCGCAATGTTCTTGTTGGAGAATTTTTGGCCAAAAATTCAAGAAATGCGGTCCCGCAAGCTTCCTATTCATCCGATGTGGCATCGTGTGACTTCTGTTTCATCGACTAAAATTTCCGCTTCGTGGTTACCATTTTCTGTCGACCGATGCATTCTGTTTTATGGCATCAGTCGTTATATGGCACGACTTTAAAGCGTGTTTCGAGGATTGGAAAAAACGGCGGAGTACGTTTATTGCATTGGGGAGGGGATTACTTTGAAAGGGACGAAATAAATTTTGATGAATATCTTGAGTTTTATTGAACCATTCCCGATACTTTTTAATCACAGATATACGTAATACAAGTCATCGATAATCACAGGTCAGCGCTTGATGCAAGGGCATATTGTAAGGGTGAAACTTGGCATCTTACGGAATCGCGACAATTGTGCCAGACTCATGAATATCTACATCTCTTTCGTCTGTAATTGGTCGCCGGGTCTGTCTATTTCTGTTATAACGAAGTACACCTTCGGTTCCGGGGGTGATACTGAATAGTGTCGTTAAACGAAACGAGTCACTAAATCAGTGTTTTTCAAACTCTAACGAATCGTCGCCCCCTTCAATAAAACCGTTACGTAGTATCGCCCCCTTCACTTCAAAATTCCAATGCCGAGGGCCAAGGCTAATTCTAACGCCAAATTCGTACTGCATTGAATGAACTAGTGACTAGTATAATGTTATTTGCTTAATGCTTAATAATTGTACGATACTGTATAACCAGGGCTGTGGAGTCGGAGTCGTCAAAAAATCCGCCGACTCCGACTCCTTTTTACTTCTTAATTTGTAATGTATATAAAACGGAAAAGTATTGGAATCGTGTCAAATTTGACCCTCCAAATTTCGAGACCTCTTGAACCCCTCAAAAAAGTCAATAAAAGGGGAAAAATTCGCGCGAGAGTGTGTGTCGGCGTCTAATTTGTTTAATTTCTTTATTTTCTGGGTAGCATGGGTAAAGTTTAAGAAACGAAATGTGGCACTGTAGCTCGCGTATAAAGGGGCATTAATACTATTAAATTTTGGTTCTTAATTAAAGGTCGACAGGGTGAAGACATAAAAGTGGTCGCGTGTCATATCTCTTAATGAATATTTTACTCGTTATTAGCGTTCAAAATTAAAAAAATAATAATAACCAAATAAAACTCGTCTCTACCCTCAAAGAAAGCTTTTTTGTCATTTTATAATAGTACAGTAAAACCCGTTAAGATGTTAGAATGTATATGGGAACACGATTTAGTTCAACCACTTTGACGCTTAATAACTAACTCCTGTGTTAAACCATCCGATTCCGATTCCGACCACTCTGACCTCAGAAATTATTAGGCTTCAAACAGGGTGAACGAAATCATGCCCCGCACACACAGTCTAACATCCACACATATAGAAAAAAAAACCTCGAATCTTTTGTATATCTCGAAATTTCAAGGTGTCCCGAGTCCAAAAAATGTAAAAAATTTGAAAGGGGCCATTTTTTGAGCGAGAGCTACGCTTTCCCACAGCCGGAAAAGTAAAAATTATCGAATCGTGCAAGTGCTCGGCGCGCTATATCTAATAATGTTTAGTTCGTTTTACCAAGATTAATAGAAAGAGAGCGCGATGCAAGAAATGCAATCGTGAAGTTAAAACAGCGAGCAACAACAGCAATTTATGATCACATTTAAAAACAGTCATTATGCTGTTTATGCATTCTCGAATAACAATGGCGATCCCAATTATCACCATCAAACGACGATTGCAGCAGATTTAGCCCTTCCAGCTAGGGCCTGCGCCACAAAAATCGTCGCCTAAGTATGTATATGTCGCCTTTTTACGTAGTTGGTAAAGGGAAGGCAATAACACTTTTTATAGACACGTGGCAATAGAAACTTTTCGTAATATTTTATGTGCGATTAATTATTACAGATAGAAAACGAAAACTATTTTCATATAAATACAAATACCTAATAAATGCAGTTTTAAAGAATTTATTAAAAAGCCAAACATTACATAAATCGATTTCTAATATGGTGGTAATTTATATTTGTTGAAATTTCTGTTCAGTCGATACAGCTACAGCTAGTTACGTCAAACTTTCCTCCCTTAATTTAACGACGAACACGGGAAGGATTAACAGAATTCTCGAGAATGTAAAAAAATCCAGCAACGAGTTGAGTAAATTTCTCGGTTGTTAAGATTGTATTTAAATAATTTTTACATTATTAATCATACTATTAATAAATTGTGTGACGTCATCTATTACAGGATGTGTGTGTGTATGTTTTGGAGTCTATTTCGTTTAATATCAGGAGGGTTAAGGATTAATAAACGAAATTTGGCATGGTATTTTGTGTATATGGAGCATTGATGCTATTAAGTTTTGGTAGTTAAAGACCGCAGGGAGGAGAGATAAGGGGATGCCCTGTGTCGAATCTCGAAAGAGGTCGAACTTAATGAAGATTTTACTCGTTATTAACATCTGCAATTTTTTGGTTTTTTTTATAAAACTCGCCTTAAAATTAAACTTTTTGCTATATAATAACAATAAATAATATAAACTTTTTTATAATAAAATTTATAGCAAATGGTGCAATTTTATTTATTAATAATATAAAAGTTATTTTTCAAATAAAATTAACAGACGGGAAAATTACGAAACTCGCTGCTGGCATTTTTAAAATTCTGTTGCATTTTGATAAGGTTATATTTTTAATAATTTTGACGCTGTGTTAATTTTGGTTTTAGTATTGCTATCTCTGTTCATCCAAATATATTTCTATTAGCGCATCATACAGTTTTAAATTATATCTGAATGGTTTTAATGCATCAATGCGACTTTTCCATCTCATATCACTTACTCTTTTCAGGCTAAGGATGCTACATATTTTTAAAAACACTTTATCTCTTAGTGGTACTGGAAAAAATACACACATTGCTTGCACCAGTGAAAAACAACTAAGGATTTCTCCAGAAGTTGCCGCTGCATCGCCGACAACAATATCCAAAAAGTGACACGAGTAGGGAACAAAAAGGCTCTGGGACTTTGATTGGTCATTCGTATTTGACCGTCTGAATGAACACTTTTCGTATTTGCTCTATTATCATAGCCTTATCCACGCATATTTTCAGTTTTTAGGTATAACGATTCCAGTTTTTGCAGTATTAATTCAGTCAAACCAGCTGCAGTAGTTACTTTCACACGCAAAAACACGCTAAAATATTCTTTGGGTAAAGATCCAGAATAACCAAAGATTTTCGCTTCATTGTGTTGATATCCGGAGTACAGTCTAAAATTATACTATAATATTTATAATCATTAATAACACAATGGTTTTTTTTTTTCGAACCTTTTGTCCCATTAGAGAAATAGGATTCTCAGACGATCTTGTTAAATGTTTGCTTGTGACAGGGTCAAATTTTGATGATAATTCCAAGATTAAAAAAAAATTAC